AAATAACTTATAAAATGCCAATTTTTAACTTCAAGATTCAGGGCCAATGAACAAGTTATCATCCACTTTACGACACTTAAATAAAAGTGGAACACAAGTTAGATGGCATGCATTCTAACAGTGAGGTAGGTTAGCAGCAGAAGACTGTCCACTGCTGAAGAAGGAAGGGGGGGTGGATAGGAAAAGCTTTCCCTTTCCTTTAGGGATAGAAATGGATGGGGGAAGACAGCTGCTCCCAAAGTGGGTAGACCCAGGGAAGGGAACTTAGGATAACACAGAAATGGAGAGTCCAGCAGGTAGGTGTCTTCCTCCTCTAGTGCTCTTGCTCCCAGGGTTCTACTTGGGAGAGTCTGTGCCACTTGGATAAACCAACTTGATTTTGCTCTGTGGTTTCTGCCTCCTCTACCTGGGGCAATAGGTATGCCCAGGACAGCCAATGCCATTCTTTCTGTCTCCTACTTCTTCCCTAGCTCCCAAAAGCCAGCCATCGAAATGACAGACTAAGAATACATTGGGGAACAGACAGGGAATGACAACTTCCTACTTATTTATTTATTATGACTATTTTAATGAATGATACATATAAATATGTATTCATAAAATATACTGTGACCAAGCCACCTTCAGAGATACCTAAAAAAAGGAGGATGAGAAAGTTAGGAATTATTCCTAGTGATCAATTGGATCTGCCTGTAATGATTTATCTTCATTGTCAACCTGACTGGGTTTAGAATCACCCAGGAGACTGAGGTATGGGTGTGTCTGTGAAGGCATTTCCAGAGAGGATTAATTGAGAGTGAAAGACCCTTAATGTGGATAGTGCCATCTCATGGGCTAGAGACCCAGAAGAAATAAAAAGGAGAACGGGAGAAAGCCACCTGAGCTCTGGCATTTTCTTCTCTCTGCTTCCCAGTCTACATGATGTGAACTGAGCTGCCCTGCCATGCCTTCTCCACCATGGTGGACTGAACCCTCTGAAACCATATCTTAATATGGCTTGTTGATAAAGGCTATGACAGAGTTTAGGCTTGGGGAGAAAAGTCCAAGATTCATGATGAGCAACAGTCTACAGGCTAGGCAGGGCCAGGCTGTGAAAGGACATTACTTCTGAAACTACTGGTTCTTCTTCCATTCTCTAACATTAATCCTCTTGTTTTCTAAGGCTCTGCAATTCATTAGACCTTCCATAAGGGTTTGATACAAAAGCAAATGTGGCTAGGGCTCATCAAAAATCATTGACATTCTGTAAATAAACAACTCTCTCTAGTTCAGAAAAGGCTTAACCAAACAGATGACTCCAAGAGTTGAAGCCAAGACACCGCATAACAGTAGACACATTAACACAAGCAGTAATTATTTCTGTCCTCTGGAGGAGGACAGAAATTTCTGTTCTCTAGTGAGACAGTGAGAATTCTCCTAACTTCCTATAAGCGGGCTTGTAACCAAAGTAACCATCATGACCCCAGAATCACATAAGAAATTAAGACAATAACCCAAAGTATGTCTTTCCCGTTTCTTGATCTGATCTCTGTTAGTAATTCTCGGTGTTCGTTAAGAGTTATAACATCATGGAAATAGACCTAACAACTTTGAGTATGATTTTTAAATTGTCTACACGTGGAGCTCTTTGCAGAGCTATTACACTCTTTAAAAAGATAGTGGCATGGGCTGGTAAGATGGCACAAACAGGTAAAGGCACTTGTCAAGCAGGACAACTTGAGTTCCATCCCCAGGACCCACATGGTGGAAGGAGAGAACTGACTCCCACAAGTTGTCATCTGACCTCTACACAAAAACCATGACATATACACAATCCTTCCTCCCCCCACCATGATAAAATATAGTTGAAGAAATGGCAGGGCATGGTAGCACTTGACTTTAATCCCTGCACTTGGGAGGCAGAGGCAGGCAGAACTCTGTGAGATGGAGACCACCCTGGTCTAATATCAAGTTCCAGGTCTGCTGGAACTACAATGAGACCCTGCCCCCCCCCCAAAAAAAAGATGGTGGCATGGTAGAAGTACTCTTTTCTCAAGAAGTACTTAGGTACTGTCTTTCTCCAGGGACCCTTTGATTTGGTTCTGCCTTTAAGCAAATATAATATCACACAGTATAAAATCCAAAACCCAGTAAAACAGGCCTCCCTCAAGTCCTGAGAGCATACTGCCCTTTAAGAGGTTGGTTGGGGTCAGGCCTCTCATTTTCCCCAAACTTTATCTCTCTTTTTTTAAAAAAAACTACTTATTTTTATTTTATGAGTGTTTTGCTGCATGTACATAGGCATACCCATATCATGCAATGCCTGTGAACGCCAGAAGAGGGCATTGAATTCCTTAGAGCTGGAGTTAGTGGCCATGTGGGTGCTAGAACTGAACCCGGGCCCTTTGGAAGAGCAACCATGGCTTTTAACCACTGAGTCATCTCTCCAGCCCCAAGCATCGCCTCTTTTACACACAATATAGAGTATAAATTAGGACACTTTTGGAAAACAGTAGAATATGCCATTTTGACCAGAAACCATAAAGCCTATTCATGTAGAAATAATTACGGACAGAAAAACACAGTTTCAAAAGTAAATCTGGCTGCTGCTTCTCCTCAGGTGAAAATTAAATTGGTCTGATGACTGGCAATGAGCTGACAGACTCTCAGAGGGAGTTCTGCACAGCTAAGCACCATACTACCGAATATACAGTATAAGCTTTTTGCAAATTAACACTACTCTGTTGATGACATACTTTTTATTCTTTTCCTCTATGCCTGGCTGTTCAGTGCTTGAGAAATAAAGGCTAATGACAAACAGACAAGTCTATTATTTTAACTCTGACAGGAGAACAAAGGTTTGGCTTTTGGTTTTACAGGTCTGTGTGTGTGTGTGTATGTGTGTGTGTGTGTGTGTGTGTGTGGTGTGTGTGTGTGTGTGTGTGTGTGTGTGTGTGTGTGTGTGTTTAAATATAGCCAACCTGATCTTTCAAGAACTAATTTCCTCTCAGTGGCCAACTTTGTCTTCCTGGTCACCAACTGGAAAGCCCGCTGTCTGCCCCTCCCAGCTGCCGGGCGCCAGCTGCTGTTGGATACAACACAGAGCTGCAGTCCTCTCCTTCCCCATAGCCCAAAGAACCAAGGTACAAAAATAAACTGCCAGCGAAGATTTTTTTTAATGCAAATGAACATCAGACTGAATGTTAGTTATGAAACATTCCTTAAAATCTTAAAAACAGGGTTGGGAGATGGGCCAGTAGATAAAGCACTTGCCTTGAAGCATGAGAACCCAAGTTTGGACCCCCAGAACCCATGTAAATTTGGATACAGGACAGTGTATTACATTGTAATTCCAGTGTGCTCATAAGCAAGATGGGAGGTAGACAGGAGAATCCCAGAAACGAGTGGGTCAGCTAGCCTGGAGTGGGCAGCAGCGAACAACAGACCCTGCCTCAAAGCAAGGTAAAGGGGGAACCAACATGGGCTTGTCCTTTGACCTCTACATGCCCACACTTGTACACACACATGAAATATACATGCATACTACACACATACATCATACACACACAGATAAAAAAAGTTCTAGGGTTTTGAAGGGGAAAATCAGATCAGTTCTTCCGATATCCCAGAACACCTCATCTCCCTTCAGTCTGACTGACAACTGACAGATACACACCTGTGGGTGTGCATATTTGCAGCAGACCACACAACTGGAAGGCAGAACAGCAAGCCAAGATTACCTTAAGGTCAAAAGACCCTTGTTCTAGGCTTAGACTTGGGCACCTCGTGATAAAATACCTCCTGCTAGTGCCACTTGCAGTCCAAACCAAGAGGCAAGAAAGGAAAAAACATCTCTGCAGAGGGGTGCCCATACATGGGCTTTCATTCTTTCTTTCTTTTTGAGAGCTGGAGGATTCTGGGCAGCCTCTGGAATAGTACATATCCATTTATTCTTTTTCTTCTAAACAGAATGTTTATAGCCTTCAGAAGACTCTCAATGAACTCCCTGCTTCTGGTGGGGCTAATAATACCCAGAGCCAGGGGATGCCCTCCTTGTCCATTGCAAAGTCCTTTGTTAACTACATTAAAACAAAAAAGATGGTATTCTACCCTCAGGCAAAAAAAGTCATAATATTACCATTGGTGGGTTGTTTGTGTACAAGCAATGTTGCAGCAATAAATCTCTATAATGATGCTAAATTGTACATTATGTTCTGGGTTCTATAAACATATTATATATAGTGGTTATAAAAGTTTTTTTTTCAAAGCGCCAGAGAACACTTTTACTGTATCATTAATTTGTTGCTATAATAAATAATTAAGGATCAACTAAACAATTTTATTTGTCCTTCTGAAATTATAAGAACTTTCTTGGAAAAGATTTAAGAGACCTAAGTTCCTGTTAAAACAACCCCTGCCTAAAAAAACAAACAAACAAACAAAACAAATCTGAGGGAAAATCATGATTCAGTCAGTCCTGAAGTGACTGTTGACTTTGTTTTTTCAGGGGTCAATACTGGGGTTTGAGGTTTAACACAACCACGAGAAACTCGAATGCAAAAGGGTTCAGGCAAAAGGGTTCAGGTGTGACTAAGTGCCGTAGCAGCCTCAGTAATAGATGAAGAACAGCAGTCGGCACTGTGTGCAATTCAACAGATGGAGGAAACCTGCAAGTTGGGATTCACTTAGTTGATCGAATGCTTGGCCAACATACACGAAGCCCTGGGTTTGATCCCCAGCACCCTCTAAACTACTCATGGTGCCTTATACCAGCACTGGAGAAGTAGAGTCAGAAGGATCTGGCGTGCAAAGTTATCTTGGCCATACAGAGTGCGTTTAAGGCCAGCCTGGGCTACATGAAACCCTGTCTCAAAAGACTCAGCAGAGAAAAGAGTTGGAAAGTATTTTTCCTACATTAGTTTTCTTTTCTCTAAAAGGACTTCAGTGATATCTGCCTCCAAACCCGGTACCCAGAAAAGGCCTTTTTTGCTCAAAAGTGGGAACCCAGGAGAATTACTTACCAGATGCAGGTGGCTGGTCACTGGGGGTGCTTCCAGACCCTGTGGCTCCCCTTGCTGAGCTTGGAAGCCTTATATCAGCCCCATCCTGGGTCTGCTCTCTCATCTCTGCCCTACCAGCTGTTGCTTCAGCCGGGAGGCCCATGCTGTAGGCACACTGGGGCAATGGTCCACATTTCAAGGAACCCATCAGGGGTTCATGGTCCTCCCCAGGAGCATTCCCATAGCCTGTGTAGCCATCCGTTGAGTTAGAGCTGGCTGCCCAGGGCAGGCAACCATTACCCTCTACTTCTTTTTGGAAGTACTTTTCAGGGGACTCGGGAATACAATCAGTCCTGCATGGGGGCTCAGGGAAGTTGCAGCTTTCAGACTCTACCATATTCTCAGTCCCTGTGAAACACTGGCTTAAACTGTCATTCTCCCCCACTTCCAGAGGCTCCAGGAAAGGGGGTGTGGATTTGCTTCCAGGCTGGGTAAGGAACAAGGAACCATCAGGGGGCTGCAAGGGCCGGTCCATATATTCATCTTCTGTGGGGATCTGCCTTGAAAGGTCCCCCACAGTCTCAACCTCACTGACCAGCAAGAATATCCCAGCATCTTCACCCTCTTCATAGGGTCCACCTGGTGCACACACAGGGCCACAGGAACCTGCACCATCTGGATAGCACATGTCTTCTGGAACCATCTTCTCCTCCAGAGTCATAAGTAAGCTACCTTCATATACTTCTCGCTGACTGGAGGCTGTTGAGTGAGCACCAACACAGCCATCCCCTGAGGACTCCTGGGGGTGTGAATTTAGAAGGCAGAGACCTTAATACCCAGAGTTATTAGACCATGTTCACCTAACTACCGCTGAAAACAATGTTTATATGAATTGTTTCCACTCTAACAAGTACAGGTGGCATGTTCTCTGTGGCACTTAATGAGTGGTACTGTAAACATAGCCAACTACACCTGGCTGGAGAGGTCACAGGCCCTAGAGAAGAATTTACTTCTGTCACTTCCCTAGACCATAATAATTTCCTACTATATTCTAAATATGTATCCTTATATTTACAGGCAAGTGTACCTCTCATCACTCATCAAGAAGCTTCTTTTTGTGATAGATGGAGACTTTTACAAAGGTCCACAACTGATCAATCAAATGCAGAGAATAAGTGACTGTGAGGTGCCCAACCCTAAGTGACACATCTACAATGGAACCTCTACACCTAAGGCTCATGGAATATCTCAGAAAAGGGGGTAGAAAGAATGTATGAGCCAAAGAGACAAGACATCTACTGCTAGTTAATGCATTCTAGACATGAGAGGAAAGCTGAGTCCATGAACTCTCCACAGCATGGTGGCCTAACAAGATCTGCATAATGACAAAAACAGTTTTTATGCCAAGGCGGATTAGGGCAAGTTTCATGGGGGTCCCATCTCAAGATGAAGAGCTACAGGCAATGGATGCTGAGGGAGGGAGAATCAGTTTTCTCCAGGGACTTGCTCCCTGGGAGGTTACCTAATTCCAAGTGGGCAGCCCTGCACACATGAGCACCACTAAATGGATTCAGTACATTATATATGTATATTTACAAATGTATACATGTATATGTAACAATAATAATCAAAGAAGAGGATAAGTTATTAGGAAGGAGTGAAGGGCATGGGAGGAGTTGATGGGGGACTGGGGAAGATAAAAATAATGCAAATACAATACTCATGTATGAAATTCTCAAAAAATAAAAAAATACAAAATTTATAGAGTGTAGGAGAAGCCTAAAAAGGAACACAAAAGAAAGAATGAATCTTACTACTGCATTGCAGGAATAGCATCTACACACCTAAGAGCTAATCCAAGTAACCCAAGCTGAACATATATCCAAATACTGGATTCCAGTTGGTAGTTCTGTGTTTGGCTGTGGCATGGTTTAGTAATTCTGAAACAGTTTCTGGGTGTTCAAGAATTGAGCAAATGAGTAAGCATATTGAGAGTTAAAGGGTCAGATTTAACAACCAAGAAGAGAAGATTAAAAAGGAAAAAGGAAAGGTGAGAATGAATCCTGTAGTGCTGGGGCTGGAACTGGAAAAAACTGGTATGATGTTCAGAGTTGATACATGTTTATACTTAAGAAAACATAGGTAAAGGACAAAATAGAATAATTAGAAGAATCTTAAAATCAAATGTGGATTGGAAATTATGTCACTGTTAAGCTTTTTGTTTGTTTTGTTTTGAGACAGGGTCTTAAGTAATTTAGGCTTGCCTTTTTACATGCAGCTGAGGATGACCTTGAACTTCTGATCTTCCTGCCTCTACCTCCCAGGTGCTGAGATCACAGGTGAGTACCATCATATCCAGTTTATAAGCCCTGGGGACTGAACCCAGGGCTTTGTGTCTGCTAGGCAAATAGTCTTTTAATTGTGTTACAACACCAGCACCAGTGTTAAATGTATTTGTTTGTTTATTTACTATTTTTAAAGGAGAAAGTGAGCTGAACATGAGCATTCATCACTTTCTATTTTAAAAATACTTATTTATTATATTTTATTTTATGTGTATGTGTTATGCCTGCATGTATGTAAGTGCATCCATGTCATGCAATGCCCATGGAGGCCAGAAGAGGGCGGCAGATCCCTAGGAACTGGAGTTAAAGATGGTTGTCAGTTGTCATGTGGGTTCTGGAAACTGAACTTAACCACTGAGCCATCTCTCCAGCCCTCACTTTCTACTTTTTAGAAAGGATATATATATATTTGGGGGGTCTTTTTTGAAGCAGGGTCTCCCTGTAGCCCCAGCTGTCCTGGAACTCACTATGTAGACCAGGCTGGCCTTGAACTCACAGATATCTGCCTGCCTCTGCCTCCCAAGTGCTGGGACTACAGGTGTGCGCCACCACGCTTGGCAGAAAGGATATATTTTTATTTTAAATTATGTATATTGTGTATGGGGGTATGTTCACATGAGTGCAGTTGCCCTTGGAGGCTAGAAGAGGGAACTGGATCCCCTAGAACTGGAGTTACCAGTGGTTGTGAGCTGCCTCTGTGGATGCTGAGAACTAACTCTGGTTCCCTGGAAGATCAGTACTTGATCTTAACTGCTGAGCCATCATTCTAGGCCCCAGCTTTTTTGTTTTGTTTTGTTTTGTTTTTTGTTTTTTGTTTTTTGACAAATTTGTTATGTTTATATATGAAACTGTTCTTTTTTTTTTTTTTTGCCTTTTTGACAGTCTCCCTGTAGCCCCAGGAACTTGCTATGTAGCCCAGGCTGGCCTCTGTCTCACAGGGATCCACCTGCCTCTGCCTACTGAGTGCTAGAATTATTGGAATTATAGGCCTGTGCCACCACACCTGGCTGAAACTGTCTATTCTTTTTTTAAAAAATTTATTATTTTTATGTGTATGTGTGTATTGCCTGCATGAAGGTAAGTGCACCAGTGTCATGCAATGTCTGTGGAGGACAGAAGAGGCTGCTGGAGCCCCTGGAACTGGAGTTATGGACAGTTGTTAGCTGCCATGTGAGTGCTGGGATTTGAACCCAGGTCTTCTGCAAGAAAAGCCAGTGTTCTTAACTGCTGAGCCACCTCTCCAGACCCTGAAACTGTCTATTCTTAAAGAACATACATTTAGGTATTTAAGGCTAGAGGACTACACTACTTCCATTCACTCTAACTTGATTCCAAAAAAGTATGCAAATTCATATACACACAGAGAGAAAACAAAGAATAAAGCAATGTGACAAGATGTAAATGACTAGTGAATCTGGGTGTCAAGCATAGGGAAGTTTGTTGTAATAGCCTCACTATTTTTCTGTAATTTTTGAAATTATGCCAAAGTAAAAGATTACCTAAATAACTACGGAGTAAAAGAAAGTTGTAAATCATTCCTCCCAGAAATCTATTAACCAATCAATGTCAGCACTGAAAATATGTACACAGAAACAACAGAATTGGAATGGGGACTAGCTCATGGCTCAGTGGTAGCCCGCTTGCCTAGCATGTGCAAAAACTTGGGGTGGGGGATGGGTGGAGATGGGGTGTAATGAAACCAAAGAAAAACGGGCATTCAGAATGAGCACTGACTTGGGTCCTGGGCTATGTCAGCAGCTAGTTCTGAGATGTGAGGTTTGATACTGTGCCTGTTAAGCACAGTATCAAATGGGGCTCAATAGTTGGCTAACTATAGCTCTATGAGTCTGCTGACAGAATGTAAAGGCAGCATTAAAGATGTTTTACCTTATTTCCACTTAGGCGACCGCAAACGTCATTGACCCAGTTCCACAAATTAGCTAGAAAAAGAAAACAAGGATGAGGGCTCTGTGCTATAAGTTCCCATTTCTTTTTTAATCTAAATTTTTATTTTGTGTATTTAATTTATACATGACATTATAGGGTCCATGTAGACACAAAGTGGTAATTATAATAAAACCGATTAACTTCCCCATCAAGTCATACAGTTACCCATTTGTGCGTCAAGAGGAGCTGAAATCAACTCCCTCAGCAAAAGTTCTCATATAGTACAACACTCTTGTGTAGACATGATTATCTTATACATCTGCTACTGTAGTCTTTGACCTACAGCTCCCCATTCCTTCCCTCATGCCCCTGCTCACCACTGTTGGATTCTCTACCTCTGTGTGTTTGACTTTTCCCCTTTTTTTGATGATTCCACATAAATATATCACACAGCAAGTATTACTGGGGCAGGGTACAGCTCAGTGGCAGAAAGCTTGCTTGGCATACACAATGCTCTGAGTTCCATCTCCAGCACTAGAAGTACAGAAAGGACTCAGTGGTAGAATGCTTGCCTAAGGTGTACACAGACCTGGGTTCAATCTCCAGCATAGGGTAGGAATCAATCAATCAATCAATCAATCAACTGATTTAAAAACTCTGAAGGCATCTCACTCCTTATAAAAATCAGAGTTTGCTGCTCTATGTGAAGCAAAGCATAAGCCATTAATGCTCCATCAAATACCCATGGTGACACTATGGTTTGTCACAGATGCGGCTAGACTACAAAATTTCATTACCTTCACAATTTTATTTTAAATATGAGGAACAAGGCTAACCATGGTAGGGGCATAACGAGGATGCGTCTAAGGATATGTTATTGCAAAGATAAAGTTTTATCCCACCCCTAATGAAAATTCAATGCTTTGTCCACTATTAAGATTGAGATCAGGATCTGTCAATTCCCTTTTTTTGCTTGTGTAGTGTATGTGCTGTGCATGTGTGCGTTTGCATGTATATGAGTGTGCACGTCTGTGTGTATGTGTGTGTCTGTGTATAGGTCAGATGTTGGCATTGACTGTATTTCTTGGTCTCTCTTTACCCTATTTATCAAGGCAGGGTCTCTCACTTGAACCCAGAGCTCACCAATTTAGCTGGTCTAGCCAGCCAGCTTGCTCAGAGTGCTCTGCCTTGCTCTCCAGCCTCAAGGGCTGGGATTACAGGTTGAAGGGAAACGGTGCCTCTTCCCAGGCCACCCTGGGAAGGAATCCTGCTATTTCACCTTCTGCCATGTTCTTCAGACCTCCTCTATCACTTCACTGCCAGAACCTTTAATTATAAACCCTTGGCTTCCTTGGACTTCATTCTTTCTTCTCATCTCCCGTCCCTTCTCCCCCATGCTTTCTCTCTACCTGTGCCCTTCTCCCCCACCTCTCCCCTTCCTTCTCCCTTTTCTTTCTCTGTTTTCTCTTTCTCCACCCCCTTCTCAGCACAAGGATCAAACCCAGGGCGTTCCTTTATGCTAGGCAAGCACCTTACCACAGAGCTATATCCCCAGCTCTTGGTATTTCGGATTTCTGACAAGATCTCTTTAAGCTGTCCAAGCTGGCCTTAAATTCCTCCTGCCTCAGCGTTTTGGGTCTCAGGATTACAGGTATGTGGCTCAGCAGATAAGGTGCTTGCTTTATATGTTGAACCTGAGTTTGATCCCCAAACTCACTTACAGGATGGAGAGAACAGAGTCCTAAAAAGCTGTCCTCTGAGCTCCACATGTGCATGGTGTAACATACAACCACATATGCATCATGAACAAAGACAATAAATAAAAAGAAAAAGAAATAAAGGATAAAAAAAATAGCTCTTGAGCAAACCTAAAGAAGCCTGACATCCCTTCATTAAAAATCACATTCCTTTTAGCTATGTAGTATGAAAGTCAAGCCTGTGATACTTAAAAACACTATCAAACTTTTTTATGGAAAAGGTATTTCCAAAACAAGTAACAATGGCTTGTCCATTCTAATAATAAGCTCCTAAATTCCATTGACTATAAGGTCATTTATTTTCAAAATAGTATCACATTTCAAAATAGTATCCCAATCAAAACTCCCCATCATACCATTTATCTGAACATTTTTCCTGTGTTTTATTTATTTTTAAAGTATTTATTTTTATTTCTATGTGTATAAGTGTTTTGCCTACATGGAAGTGTACCCATGTCATGCAACAGTCATAGAGGCCAGAAGAAGGCATAGGATCCCTGGAACTGGAGTTATGGACAGTTGTTAACTGCTATGTGGGTGCTGGGAACGGAACCCTGGTCCTCTGCAAGAGCAGCCAGCTCTCTTATCTGCTGAGCCATCTCTCCAGTCCTGTATCCGTAGCCTTTACCTTTATCTGTCAGACACCAGACACAATACCTGTCAGTGCTTTCCCTTTCTTCCTATAGTAAACGCCGAAGACGATGGCAGCAGCTAATGCCACAGAGGTGAAGAGAAGCAGTATAATGAGACTGGGCAAGTAAATCTGGGCTTCTGTGTTGGAGGGAAGAAGAGATACAAAAATAAAGATCATTGCATCTTATTAAACTGAAAGATAAAACTGTAAATCCAACCCAAGAATCAAGGCTGTGGGTGTGTGGATAAAGAGTGGTAGAGAGCTCCTGGGTCCCTCACTGCAGACTTCTCACATTCTAAAGAGTGGGTTCTGAAGCCTAGGCTCAGGCAGCCTTTCTGTCATGAGAGGCCAGCCCATGACCACTGTCCTGTCGCTCCTTCACAATGACTTGAATCCCGTTCACCGTCCTGTCCTGTTTCATCTCTGCTGGCCTCTACAACCCTCACCTTCTCCAGGTGTGTGGATTCTGAGGGAGGAGGGAACCCTCATCAAACCCCTGCAAATGCCAATATGGCTCCAGGGATTCACTGGCCAAGGGATCAGAACCATAGCCACCCAGAAAATGTTTCTGCTGTTTTGTCTAAGACACAACACAGGCTCCATTTTCCCCATCCCTCATCCAGCTCTTCAGTGCCAAACGTTTCTTATAAACCTAAGCTTCCTAATTCCTGATTCTCACCTTTCGTCTTCTCTCTTGCTCTCTCTTTTTCCTTTGTTTGTCTTTTTTTTGAAGCAGGGTCTCCCTGTAGCCCCAGCTGTCCTGGAACTCACTATGTAGACCAGGCTGGCCTTGAACTCACAGAGATCTATCTGACTGCCTCTGCCTCCCAAATGCTGGGACTACAGGTGTGCGCCACCACGCCCAGCTCATCTTCTCTTTTTAAAAATAACCTTTAATTCTCTCCTTTAAAAAAATTATGTCTTCAAAATAGTCCTTTTAAAAACTCTGACCAGGCTGGGTTCTGGCCTCCCTCTGGCACAGGGGCTGAGAACTAAGGGGATTGCCTGAGAGCACCCGGATCCTGCCTCCACGTGGTGAAGCCTTTGAGAGGGAACTGTCACTGATTCTAACTACTCCAACAGCTATCAAAATACCTGAAAGCAAATCCTGAATCCATCACTCTCGAGTCCAATCTTGGCAGACAAAAGAAAAATGAGGAGGAACCCAACATACGCTTTTGGAAGCTCTCGTCAAGAAATCCCAGTGGACTCTGATAGGAACATTTGAAATTTGCCCTGTTCTGACTTTTTTCTGGTTCCCTGTCTAGAACTTGTAATGCTAACTACTCTTGCCTTTACTTCTCCTTCACATCCTCTATTCACCAGTCAAGGACTTTCTTTCCTCCCTACAGATAAGAGTTATGCAATTTGGGAGTCTTTTAGATAGACCCACTGAAGGGGTACCCCAATTGCCTCACCCTGTATCCCTGTTCAGCATAGAAGAAGCCAGAGCGGTCTGTGTCCCAATTCCCTATCAGCAATTTGAGTAACCTCTTCAGAGGATGGCGTGATAAGAATAGGAGGTAGGAACCGGCTAGGCAGTTAAGGTAAAAAAGACCCCAAGGAAAAGTAGACAGTTTCTTGGCTAAAATTCACAATGTCCTTGGGCCTCTTAGCAACATACTTCCATTCCAAAGGCCAAAAACAACAAAGTATTTGGGAACTCTTATCTAATCCCTAAAAGATTTTAGGGTTACCTCTTCATCCCAACATTTGGGAGGCAGAGGCAGGTGAATCTCTGTGAGTTCAAGACCAGCCTGGTCTACATAGTGAGCTCCAGGCCAGGTGGGCTACAGGGAGACCTGGTCTCAAAAAGACAAAAAAAGAAAGAAAGAAAGAAAGAAAGAAAGAAAGAAAGAAAGAAAGAAAGAAAGAAAACGAAGTTTTCAGAAAAAAATGATGGGGAGATATGGGAGGTGTTGAAGAGGAGAGAGTGGGCATGGATTTGATCAAAACACCTTATATGTGTGTATGAAATTCTCAATAAACTTTCTTTTAAAAGTTTAAAAAAAAAACTCTGACCATATAACTCCATATCCACATACTTTGTTTTATTTTATTTTATTTTATTATTTTATTTTATTTATTTTATTTATTTTATTTTATTTTATATTGGTCTTTTTGAGAAAGGGTCTCCCTGCAGCCCCAGCTGACTTGACCTGGAACTCGCTTTGTAGACCAGGCTGGCCTTGAACTCACAGAGATCCAACTGCCTCTGCCTCCAGAGTGCTAAGATTCAAGATGTGTGCCACCACACCTGGCTTCATATCCACATAGTTTAACAACCTCTTGTTTCTCAGTTTGTCAAATGGACATCCCTGATTAAAATTTTTTTTAATTTATTTATTTTTATTTTATGTATGTGAGTGTATTGCCTGCATGAGTATAAGTTCATCCTTCAATGCCCACAGAGGCCAGAAGAGGGCATTGGAGATCCTGGAACTGGAGTTACGGACAGCTGTTAGCTGCCACATGGGTGCAGAGATCCAAACCCAGGTCTTCTGCAAAGATCAGCCTGTGCTCTTAACCACTGTACCATCTCTCCAACCCCTGACCCCTAATTTTCTTGTTCATCACCTGTGATCACTGTTGTTCTGTGGCCTGTGCTCTCTTGCCCCTCTAAGAGGTCTTCTTACCTTACCTACATTCTTCTGAGATGCAGAAGACCCACCTCCACACTGACCCATTCATCTGAAACAACCAGAAGCCTCAGTAAACCAACAACTGTCAGTTTTTCAAACTTCAAGATCTATAAATATTCATGAATATGACAGCCAGATTCTAACAAGTGGCACACTTTGGCTGATGACCAAAATCTCTGTATAGACACCCTCACTGTGACTATAATCCCCTATCATGTCTGGGTGTCCACACTTATGTTTACAGTTTTTCTTTTCATTTAATATAAATACATAATTAGTTATCCCCAATTCAGTGTAAAAACTTATTCAGCAGCCTAACATGTGGAAGGCCCTGGGTTCAATCTCCAGCAGATAAAAAGAACTGGGAACTAGAATATTGATAAAATGAAACACCAAGATGAGCCTGGGTGGGATGAAATGAAAGGCACAGATGAAGGTGTGCAGACCAAGCATGTAGTTCTAGAGAGACCACTCGGCCCACTACCATCCCACAGGCTCTGTTCACCATACCCTTGGGTGGTTTTCTGGAGGGCAGAGAAGAGCTGCAGACCAAGTCCGATTTATCTGTGCCTGGATGTGCTTCTGTCTTTCCAAGGAGGGTGCAGCTGTGGAGGGAAAAGAAAGTAAGGGCTTCAGCTTCATATTGTTAAAAATCAAACAAAGAAATGCTGTACTCTACTAGATTCCCAGTTCCTTTGTGAAGGGAAGCCACATCTTCCTGGATGTTTGAATCTCGAGGCCTTTCCATGAGGAGCAGAACCCCATAGAGGTGGACAAAGTTCTAAGAGAAGATTCTAAGAGGTACTGAGAGCATGGTGGACCAGTGGGTATAAGGGCTTCAGGAGAGGATTCTACATGGTGGGCCATAAGGTTTTTAAAGAGTATACCTTTGAAGGTGAAAAATACAGAAACTATTCTCAACATAAAACTTGAGTATAGTTCATCTGGAAATGACAAGAAGAACCTATTGAGCCAGGTGTGATGACTCACACCCAGATCCTTTGTAAGAGCAGCCAATTACTCTTACATTGCTGAGCTCTTTTGGGGCATAGACATGACACCACAATTAGGAAATCCAACACCATGAAACCTTGCTTTACTCACAAAAACAATTTAAAATATTGTGTAGAATTACCTCCACTCTATGTATATAGGTGTACATGAAGTAGAAAAAAATTCTGTGTTTAGACTTTGCTTCCTTCCCCAAGAGCTCTCACTACCTATCCAAAAATGTTTCAAAGTCTGAAAAAAATCTGGAAACACTTCTGGTCCCAAGTACTTTGGATAAGGGATACTCAACCTGGATGTAACACTATTCACTACAAACTTTATTACTAAAAAAATTCTGAGTGGCTTAATTGACTGTCAGTAGGAATTTAGTAAATAAAAGATGGTACATTTCTACAGTGAAATATTGGGTAGTTGTCAAAAGCCACAAAGATCCCCAATTCAGTGTAGAAAAAAAATTAAGTAACCTGGCTTTGATCCCCAGCAGCATAAAAAATAGACAAAATCATAGGCCGGGTGTAGTGGTGCATACCTATAGTCCCAGCACTTGGGAGGCAGAGGCAGGAAGATCTCTGCAAGTTCAAGGCCAGCCTGGTCTACATAGTGAGTTCCAGGACAGCTGGGGCTGCAGGGAGACCCTGTCTC